AACATTCAGAGCAGCCCTGCAGAGAAGGACTCAAAGGTTCTGGTGAATGAAAAGCTGGACATGAGCCAGCAGTGTGCGTTTGCAGCCTGAAAGGCCAGAACTGTGTCCTCCGTTGCATCAAGAGGGGTGGCCAGCAGGGCAAGAGAGGTGGATGTCTCCCTTTACTCTGTCCTCATGAGGCCCCACGACACATCCCCAGCATGTGAAAGACATGGAGCTGTTGGAGAGGGTCCAGAGAAGGGCCACAAAGATGATAGGGGGAGCACTGCTCCTACCAAGAAAGGCTGCAGGAGTTGGGTTTGTTCAGCGTGAAGAAGTTTAGGTTTCAGGGAGCTTTCATTGCAGCCTTCCAGCATTTAAAGGGAATTTATAAACAAGATGCAGAATGACTCTTTACACACTCTGACAGTGATAGGACAAGGGATAAAGGTTTTAAACTGAAAGAGGGAAGATTTAGCGTAGATGTTAAGGTGAAATTCTTTACTCATTTTTCAAGTGCAAAATTTTAAAGTAGACATCCAAGTGATGTAGAAGTCACTCAGTCATTTATGTCTATAGATGCCTTACAAATAAGAGAAATCTCAGTATCTAGATCTGACATCTCTTACAAAACTGATTTAAGAACAGGAAGTGAAAATATATGTGAAGTAGACATTTCCTTTATTTTAGTTAAAGCAAATGATGGTCCATAAGCATGTTTTGTGAGGTATCTGCAGTAATGTACTTAATTCAGTATTCTTAAAGTTTTCTATTGTATTAAATAGTATCATTACAACTTTCCAGTTCCCAATAAAAGAGAGAGATCAGTAAAGTCACTTTCAGTAATAGAGGAGTCCAATAACCAAAACAATGTAATATTTTACAGGTCTCTATCTAAAAGAATCTTTTCTAACACAGTACTTGAAATTCACCTGTACAATATTGTGATCACAAGTATATTTTGGACTACACATAAGCCCCTTAAAGATAATAGATCTGCCACAGTTTAGTGCTCTGCTTCACACAGGACATAAAACAAAGTGAGACAGAAGGATAATTAAAGCTTAGACTCCACTAGAGAATAAAGAAATATTTAAAATAAACTGTGTTGCCCTTACCTTATATTCATTCTTGTCCTGCAGGTCTGACGTAAATAGTCTTAGCTTCCTATCAGAAGCTGCTGTACAAAACCTACACCCAACAGACAAAAAAAAAAAGCCCTAAGGTCAATCAACACATCCCCAATAGTTGACTTCAAACAAATGAATGTTTCACTCCAGTTTAAACCTGTAAAACAACATGCAAAAGGAAATCCGGAGAGATATAATTGGAAATTACCTGTAAAAAAAACAGCATATCAAGTACAAAGAATATTTTTTTATTGCAAAGAAATACAAGATATTTTACAAATCTAAATCTAAATCAACTGTGAATTACCTGAAATCTCTCTTATTATTTCCTCCAAGCTAAGTTTCAATGTCAATTAAGGGGCTGATGGTAAAAAAAAGAAAACTTATTACCAGTGTTTTAAATATATAGGCATTCAATTATTAACCAGTTTCCAACTTATTTTAAACAAAAGACTGTAAATACATGCAGCACCAGGCAATCATCATCGTTTCACAAAGACTTATAATCTACTGGGAACTTTTTAGCTCTTGTTTAGCATGTATTTAATCAGCCATCTTCCTAGACTTATAGCATGCCAAGTCTCACAAACAGCATCTGACTTATGCCTAAACACAGTTCCATAGGGAATACTACACGTAATTTTATAATGTAGGCCATCATAATAATCTCATTCTTATAAGGTATTCTTAAAATTCTTTCTTCAAAGACATACAACAAAAGGACAAACTACATTTTAGGTCCATTAGGTTGATGAATAAGGGAAAAATTGTACTATTTACCAATGATCCACTGCAGGGAGAGAAGGGCAAGTTGCTTAGGAAAGGAGCTTCCAAAGCAGAACAAATCAAGGATAAGTAAGAATGAAACTACTGTTTTAACGATGTTCAGAAACTTTACTAGCAATTTCTTCAGAGTTAGATTTTACTTATACTTTTAACTTGGTTCAACATTAAGTACTTAGGGAAAACAGATAAGTGACAAAGATTTGCTGCACTTAATTATTCTACATACCTTATCTGGGGAGGTAAAGCATCAAGTCTAGTTTCTGGACTCCATGCTATGGCATCAACTCGGATTCCATGATGAAATGTTCTTAGCGTTTTATACTGAATGCCCTCCACTTCTGCATCTTCTTCCTACAGAAATACAACAGTTAGCTAATGCAGAATAACATCTTCAAACTTCAAACAATTTGGATTTATATGAAACAGAAAGGCTTTCAAAGTCTGATGTACCCTGCTGCAATAAGGAATTTACTAGAAATACATGAAAAAATCCATGAAGTAATTGCAGTCTCAAGTCAGAGACCAATACTGAGAACAAAAACCAGAGATTTGTGCTACAAATACGAAGTTACTGCTTAAGTTCCCAGGTAGTATCACTTGCAAATGTCAGCACTGCTAAAACTAGGTTTTCTTCCAGAAGAGCACTCCTGCTTTCATTGCAGTCAATTTAGAAAGCATACCAGCAGGACAGTATTTTATACTAATTTGTATTTCTTGGGAAATATCCCAGATTCATTAATATAGTAATTAATTAATCTAGTAAACAAATACAGTGCTGCCTGGTAAAAAAAAAAAAAAAAAAAAAGACAGGAAAGCAACTTTAGTCAGCCTTGGACTTTACCAGCAGAAATGCTGGTAGAGTTTCACAAAGAAAATTAATAAAACCAACAAACTAACACAAACCAACCTGGAATCTGCATGTTCCAACAACCACATAATTGTTGCCACCATATGCAATGAGAGAGCATGCATCTCCACTATCAAATGGATTGAATTTTATCACATGCACATAATCTTCACAGTCCACAGTGTAAGCAGCATTTCTAAGAGAATCTTGCTTCATTTTCAGGGAACTATATCAAGGTATCACAGAAGTGATGTCTTTTCCAGTATGAAGGTCTACATTCCTATATAGAAAGTATTAAAGAACATGCATTACACATTCACATAAGAAAAAAGGCATTTGTGGCACAACAAATCAAAATTTCCTATAATTCTGCATTAATGCACACAAAAGGTCAAATTAAGCTCACTATTTATAGATTTAGCACATAATTGCAACTATCAAGGAATTAACTAAACCAACTAACCTAAATAACTAGCATACATTCAAAACTGTTTCTAGAGACTTAATAACTACAGATTTTGTGCTAATGCTGGCAACCTAAAACCAAGATTAACTATACACACCAGAAAAGTTATTCAGAATGCTTAAGTTTTCAACCAAATGACAAAAAAATGATGTACTGTTACCTTCAAATTCTCTACTCTGTTGTACCACTTTTAAAGGACAGTAGGTATCCAATTAAAAGCAGAATTAAGGCTGAAAAACTGCAAATGAGAACACTGTAGAATACTTAAGTGTGGTTTCATGACTGAAGTCAACCCATCTGCATACAGAGCAGAGCCCCTATGCCTCTGTATTTGAACAAAAGTAGTTAGCTTTCATCTGGAGCTAAAGTATACCTCAGAACTAGTGCTTTACTGTATTCAAGTGCCTTGCAAGGCAATCAGGCTCCTGTGCTGGCACCAAAGCAGCTTAGATACACAATTGATTCTGGAACCGTCTCCCTTAATCCCAGTGCAGATTTTATACTAGCTTATGCCTTTTGGAAAAACACATTTTTTTTCTGCATGCAACATGGAAAAATAGCTTTAAATTTCTCAATGTATTTTGCTGTGTTAATAACCTGATGGTCTCAGAATCCAAGTCAGAACATTTTGCTTAGGTGCTACCACGGTTTGATGTGGACATCACAGAGACACAAAATGGCCCCCTTTATCTGCAATATTTGTTTATTAATTAGCATTATATGCTACCCTATTAATATACATACTTCAGCCACAGAATCACAGAATGTCAGGGATTGGAAAGGATCTCAAGAGATAATCTAGTCTAATTCTCCTGCCTGAGCAGGAACACCTAGATTAGGTCACAACTTGCAGAGATATGCTCCTAAGGCCAGACACAACTTTTAACCCAATCTGTAATAGTCTTCCTTAAAGCCTTCCCAACAGCATAAAATAATAGAACGGTGTGAGTTGAAGGGGCATTTAAAGGCCATCTAGATGAACTCTCCTGCAATGAACAGGGACACTCACAGCTACAACAGGGTGCTCAGAGCCACTCCAGCCTGATCTGGAGCATCTTCAGGGATGGGGCATCCACAGCCTCCCTGGGCAACCTGTGCCACTGCCTCATTGCCCTTGCTGAGAAAAAAACTTCCCTTACATCCAACCTTGGTCTCCTCTCTTTTAGGCTGAAACCATTTCCCCTTATCCTGTCACAACAGACCCTGCTAATGAGTCTGTCCCCTTTTCCTACAGCCCCCTCCAGACAGAGAGAGACCACTGCCAGGTCTCCCCAGAGCCTCGTATTCTGCAGGCTGCACAGCTCCAGCTCCCTCAGCCTCAGTGAAAACCAACTTTAGGCTAACTTTAACTAAAAAAAAAAAAAAATTGGTAAAAAAAAATACTGCTAGCTGCATTGTTTAAGGAATCACCACACGGACAACTGCGCCGCGCAGGTGCTCGTTAACCACCCCCTCACTCACACACACACACGCACTCACATCTCCCTGCTTTTCCCTTCAGGGCTCAGCATGTCTCACTGAGAATGCGTGGCCTCACAACTCCACACGTGCTCAGGAAACGGCCCAATCTCCACCCCACGACCCGCTCATTCCCGGGGCCGGTCGGGGCATTACGCTTTTCCCCCCACTCCCGCAGCAAACCCCCTTTTCCCCCCAGCCCGCGCCGCCCCACACACACCTCCGCAGCCCCAGCCGGCCGTACACGCGCGACTCCCGCCAGCCAGCGCCTCCCGCCCACAAGCCGCCGTGTGCTTCCGGGTCAGGGCTCACGCTTTCTATTGGGCATCTGCCGAAGGTTTAAATGATAAACCGCCGATAGAGGCTGCTGGGTCTTCTGAGCGGCTGGTGGAGTGCTTGCTCTCGTTCTCCTGGTTGTGCAGGTAGTGGCTATAGGCGAGCGGGAGCGCCTCAGCCGGCTGAGAGGGGCTTGGGTGGGGAGTAAACAGCTTAATTTACTTAAAAGGGGAGGGACTACTAGCGAAGTGTAGCAATGGAGTGATTTTAAACCGAGAGAGGGGAGGTTTGGGTTAGATGGTAGAGGGAAATTTTTCACTCAGAGGGTGCTGAGACACAGCCCAGAGAAGCTGTGGGTGCCACAGACCTTCAGGTGCTCAAGGCTGGGTTGAATGGGGCTCTGGGCAGCCTGAGCCGCTGGGTGGCAACTGAAACTGGTACAGAAACTCACTGCCAAAGGGAATAGCAAATATGATGACTTAAGGAAAGGAGCATTAAAAAGGCTTTGTGTGTAGGCAACAAAAACATTCAGAGGTGTCTTCGATAATAAGTTGTGGAAGCAATAGTGAATCACTTGTTTAAGAGATTCTGTACTGATAGATGCTGGTCTGAATATGATGTGGTGCATATGAAAGATGCTTTCTGGGGGCATTCAGGCTGTCTCTGTAGAGGCAAAAAACTGTCTTATCAAATTACTGATATTATCATAGAATAGCCTTGGTTGAAAAAGACCAGAATGAGCATCAAGTTTCAACCCCCCTGCTATGTGCAGGGTTGCCAACCACCAGACCAGGCTGCCCAGAGCCACATCCAGCCTGGCCTTGAATGCCTCCAGGAATGGGGCATCCACAGCCTCCTTGGGCAACCTGTTCCAGTGTGTCACCACCCTCTGAGTGAAAAACTTCCTCCTAGTATCTAGCCTAAAGCTCTCTTGTCTCAGTTTAAGGCCATTCTTCCTTGTCCTATCACTATCAACCCTCATAAAAAGTTGTACCCCCTCCTGTTCAATGCTCCTATCAGATATTGGAAGATCACAGTGTGGTCTCCCCAGAGCCTTCTTTTCTCCAAGCTAAACAAGTCCAGTTCCCTCAACCTTTCTTCATAGGGGAGGTGCTCCAGCCCTGTGATATTCTTTCAAGTTAGTAAATATGCAAGGAGGACAAGAGGTCTTCATGAACATGTCATTCATAAGCACTTTCTACCCCTTCTCCTGGTAGTTATCTCATTGTTAGTGAGGTAAGTCTTGCCAGGCTATGGATTTGTGGGATGAATTTATTTTGTGGACTTGATATGGGAGAAGAAATGATAGCATACACACAGTTTAAGGTGAAGATGTGCATAGGCCCCTCATGTATTTTTATTTACAATTATTTCTCTTAATTCTGTGTTCTGCTCTAGGCAATGATTTCTTTCCAGGAAAAGATTTTAAACTTAATCAAATATTTCAGAAGACAATGGCCCTTATTTTCAAACTCTGAAAGGACTACAGTATGTGGAGCCGACTGCATGCTGACAGCATTACAACTGTCCATGGCTGAAGTCAATAAGCAGGTTAGCATTCTTTCTGTACACTCTTGGGGCTTAGTGTGACTTAAACTTGGTTTGCTTACTAAACTTTCAGTTTATCTATTTAAAACAGTTGTTTTGGTCATTTCAGTGTTGTTTTTGATCTGAGGGTTAGATGCAGCAAGATGTTGTAAAATAATGATTAAGTACTTTGTCAAATCAGAGAAAGTTTTTTTACAGAAAGATGGGAGAAGTGTTTTAAGTTTTTTTTTAATGTAAATCCTCATCTGTAATAGTAAACACTAGAGTATTTTGTCTGATTGCATAACTTCAATTCTGCAGCAGAGTTGGGGTTGAGATGTTTGGGGTGAGGGGTTGTCCTACAGTCAAGGAGTCCCCAGAGTGAGGAGAAAGCTGCTAGGAGTCCCCAGCCCTTGTGAGAGTGGCTGACGAGACATGGGTGGGCCAGGAGCAGCAACAGCTACCCATTTATGCACAAAGGCAACCACAGGGAGTGTGAGCAAACAGGAAAGCTGGTTTAAGGCTGGAGGGTGCCTGCTCTCTCTCTCTTCTGGGAGCAGTCCTCTATTGAAAAAAACTTGGTGACAGTATGCTGCGATGGCTGAGCTGAGGTTGTAACCTAGGCAGGGTGGCCACAACCTTCACATGCAGATGCATGCACCTAAACAGGCTTCCTGAGGAGTGAAATTGCTGCCCTGACCTTTTGTTTCGGGGTTCTCTAGAATCTGTAAGTCCACACAGGGGCTGAGGGCAGAAGTGGATGTCATAGATACAAGTGCGCCCATCTCAACAGACTTTTCCAGCAAATGGCCGGGTTGAAAGAGGAAATTGCCAGGCAGCACTGAATCCTGGAATTGGAGAGTTACGTATGGTGTTTTGTTCTGACACAGGCTGAAAGACTGCCCTGACTTAAATCCTTGCAAGGGGAGGAAGCTAAGCTAGCTTTCTGGTCTGGAAAAAGGAGAGAGTGTGGGTAATGATTCAGACTCAGGAAGGGACTACCCCATAAAGTTGGTCGAACCAACCACCTGTGTTAGAACAAGTGCCACCAAAGCAAGGAGAAGGTGCTAGTGAATGGGGATTCCTTGATGAGAGGTGTTGAATTACCCATTTGCTATTTGGATAACATCTCTAGGGAGGTTTCCCACCTGCTTAGGGGTCTTCATTTGTGATATCAAGAAGAAACTTTACTGTGCACAGTAAAGCTGGAGTGCTATTGTCCTGCTCTTTTGAGACTGGTTGCATGAGGCTGAAATAAGAAAACAACAAAATCTCAAAAGTGACTTTATCTCTCAGAAAGATGTTGCAGGGTCTAGGACTGCAGATAATGTTCTCCTTTATCCTCCCAGTTGGAGGGTGGGACACAGGAAGAAAGGGGTGAAGGGATCAGGTGAATCATTGGCTTTTGCATGGTGCCACTTTCAGGGTTTTGTGTTGTGGTCTCAGTTGCACCTTCAAGAGAATGAGTATACTGATGCTAGATGGAACACAGTTGATCAGATGGAGCAAGACTGTTTTGTCCAGCATGCTAGCTGGACTGATTAGCAGAGCTTTAAGCTAGATTTGATGGAGGAAGGAGAGGTGTTTTGAATGACAGAGAATCATAGAATTACCAAGGGTGGAAAAGACATCTAAGATCATCCAGTGCAACCATCCACCTATCACCAATATTTCCTACTAAACCATATCCCTCAGTACAATATAGAAACATTTCTTGAATGCCTCCAGGATTGATGACTCTACCATCTCCCTGAGCAGAAAAGCCAGGAGACGCTGTCACTTCATGAAGCAGCAGGAAAAAACCTCGGAATTGCTCTAAAGGAACTGAGGAAGGCTTTTCTAAAAAGATAACACTTTTGATAGCCCAGCTGAAATGCCTCTATACCAATGCACATAGCATGGGAAATAAATAAGAGGAATTAGAAACGATGGAGCAATTAAAAAACTATGACTTAATTGTTATCACAGAAACATGGTGGGAAGTACTATGCAATTGGAATACTGTAGTCAGGGAGTGCAAACTTTGTAGAAGAGATAAGCAGGAAATGAGGGTAGTGGGTGTTGCCCTTTGTGTTAAGAAATTGATAGATTGCAAAGAGCTGTCCTGATTTATGTTCTTTCCCAGCTACTTGAGCCACCCACCCTGCCCTTTGCTGAGAATGTCTTTGGCTCTGAACAGCACTGATTAGCAGCAACATTGATGTGTTATCAACATTGTTTTTCTCTTAGAACCAAAAAATAGTCTCATAGCAGACATTCTGAAGAAAACAACTATGTCCCAGCTGAAACTAAGACACGATGAAACATAACACTGCAATGTCTATCATGCAGTGATGGTCCAGAACTTTTTGAACTTCCTTTGGGTATTAGTCAGCTGGCATATGCTTATTGCAGAACATCATATTTTTATTAACATTCCCTTTAAAACCAGATATTCTTGACAGCTGACTGTGTAAGAAATAGAGTGCACTGTCACAGTGAGTGCCTGATGGTGTAAGTTAGCACCTGGAGTGAAATTCTACTTGAATTTCAAATATTCTTCCAGTGCTAATATAAACTTTGCTAATCTCTGCAGGTCCTTGGTCTTGCAAGGAAAGGTTTTGATTTACTAGGTACCATATTTAAACTGTACTGTCATTTAGCTTGGAAAATTCTTTCAGAAGTAACAAAATAGTGAGACAACTTTTTTTTTTTTTCTTCCAACCTACTATTGTTTTCATTTTCTTGAAGGTGATTACAATATGGTTAGAAATTTAGTTTTTGGAGAAGTTGGAGTGGAAAACATGCTCTGTAGAAAATGAATGACATTAATTTTCTTGTAATCTCTGAAATAGCAGGCATGTTCATAATACTGAATTATGCTAAAAACCACGTGCAAATTTAAAGATGGCTATAGGGCCAATTTCTGAACTGTTAGAAGTGTATACATAGTCCCACATCCCAACCCTTATCTTTTGTTTCTGTTACCATAGCTCAGTCTAACTAGTAGCAAATGTCTCTGCTGCTGTGTAATTTCACTTACATGCAGCAAGTACAAGGGCCTGCATGCTGTGCTGGTAAAAATCTTCACAAGCTGAGGTGACCGACTGTTGCCAATACTGAAACACGTCTCCTATTGCCTCACTGTGCTCACATCCATTGAAAGTCAAAGAGTGCAATTTTCTCCACATGGAATAATTCAATTACAGACCTCTGCTTCATCTGCACTTCCATGTCAGATGCAAATTTCTCAGACTGTCCCTCTGCTGCCATGTCACACAGCAACAAAATGTAATGGGATACAGGCAGGAAGGTTCAGCCTCTACTGCCATACCACTGACATCTGCCTATGATGTTGTGGGCCAACAAAATAAAATAGGAGGCATTACTTTTGGACCTGCCTGTGTGCTTAGGTGTGTCTTGCTTTAGTGCATTCATTAGGTCTGTGGCAACATTATCAACATTATTTAAGAGTAGAAGTGTATTAGCATTGGGGGGGGTAGGGGGGAGGAATTGATTTTGCATGTAATAGTCCTGTGAAAGTCAATGTCTGCTTCTGTCAGCAAAGTTCAAAATATATGTCTGGTATTTTAAAGATCAGGAACAAGAACTGCAGATTCCAGAAAGTCAACTGTAAGGCAAAAGCATTGAAAGAACTTCAGTTATAAGTAACACTTCATTCATTACAAATGCAAATATTTAGATTATAATAGTTTTTCTTTGAAGACATATATGCAACTTGTTTTAAAGTAATTTTTAAAACTACTAAATATAAAACATTAATTTTTTTTATTGTTGTTCTGTTAGCACCATGGAGATTTCTCAGTATCGCTCAGTGATGTGATGGAAACTTGGAAATATTTGTTACATGACAAACTAGGATTATCATATGAGAACATGGAAGAACCTGAAAATTATGCTGACTTTAAAAAGGCCTATCATACCTTCTTAGCAAGCAGCAATATGTTAGATATAATAGACATATATCAAAAGTGCTGTGCTCTTGCACTTGTCTCTGAAGATGAAAGCATTGCCCCCGTAAGTATTTTGTTCGATTAATCTCTGATATTATTTTGACACTTCTGATAATGATTATGGGTTCACAATGCTTCTAAAGTATGTGCAGAAATCCTGACTTATTCACAAATTACTTGCTTTTTCTGTGTGGGAAACAGATGTGTTTAAATTATTAAATCTTTTAAAGACTCATAAGACTATTCAAAAATTACTTCTTTCTGTCATCCTGCTGGATGTGTAGATCTCTTCTCCAGAAGTTTTTCTGCCAGAAAAAGAAAAGTCGAACTGTAGAGATTTGATATGACTGGATCGAATTTTAATGATTAACGTGCTACAGAATTTTGGATATATGTTGCTATGCAGTCCAAATATTTTTTGTTGTTGTTGTTATAAAAATAACACATTTTTAAACACAAAATCCTCCGTATTCTACACGTAGCTTCATTTGATGTTTTTTGGGAAACCAGAACAGATTCCTCAGCTACTCCGTCAAGCATCTGTTGCGGTTTATTGCAATTCAGTTATTGTAACTCTGCACATAAGACCATGCTGTAAGCTAGAGAAGTTGCAGTGTGTAGTCCAATCTGACTATGAAAATAGCACAAATTTGATTAATCTTTACCAGATCAAAATATATTGAATAATATATTAGCTGCTGGAAGGTACAAAAAAAAAAAAAATTGAGTCCAACTGTTAGTCTATTTTAGGACTGATCCAAAGTTAAAACATGTCATTATGAACGTTATCTAAATGCCTCCTAAACACAAACAGGCATGTAATGTCAGCCACCTCTTTAGGATTCCTGTTCCAATGTCTAACTAATCTCTCAGTAATTAAATTTTTCACAGTGTCTAGTCAGTTTCTGACTGATACAGCTTTGAACTGCTCTCGTGTGTCCTGTCACTAGATACCAGAGAGAAAAGATGAGCAACTCCCTCTCCACTTCCCCTCCTCAGGAAGGAGTAATCACATCATTCCTCAACCTCCTTTCCACCAAGTTTAACGAACACAATGTTCACAATTGTTCCTCATAGGATATGCCTTGCAGCTCTTTTAACCAATTTTGTTGCCTTATCTGCACACAGTCAAGTATCTTAATGTCCTTTTTAGAACGTGGAGTCCAGAACAGAATATTTGAGTTCAGACAGCACCAATGCTAAATATAGTTGGAGAATGACCTCTTCTGATTGTTTGGCTGTGCTGTGTTTAATGTACTCCAAAATGCTGCTTTCCTTCCTGGCTGCCAGGGTATGTTGCTGACTCATGTTGAGCCAGCTGTCAACCAGAGTCCCCAGATCCCTTTCTGGAGGACTCCTCTCCAGCCACTTTTGTCCCAGGCTGTATGTATGTCTGACATTACTCAATTCCAAAAGCAGAATCCAACATTTGTTCTTGATAAATTTCATACTGTTGCTAATGGCCTAATGGTTCTGATCAATGTAGGTCCCTTTTCTAAAAGCCTTTTGTATCTTCAGAGAGTCAACAACACCTACCAGTTTAGTATCAGCAGTAAGTTTTGGAAAGATTCATTTAACTCCAGAGAAAGCATTGATGAAAATGTTAAATAGAACTGGTGTCAAGATTGAGCCTTGGAAGATGCTGCTAGTGACAGGTCACCAACCAGATGTAGTCTTGTCTTTACTACAACACTTCAAGCCCTACTGTTCAGCCAGTTTTTCACCCAGCATACGATGTGCCTCTTTGTCTGAAACCTGGACAGTTTATCCAGAAAGACTGTGAGGAACAGTATCAAAAGCATTGCTAAAATACAGGAAAACTACTTCTATTGTCTTCCTTTTGTCCACAGGGAGATCTTATCATAGAAGGATATCACATTAGTGAGATAAGGCTTCCTTCTCTTGAGCCCTTGTGTGCTGGGCTGATGATTGGGTTGTGTTAGTAGCAACTAAAAAACTTTGAAATATAAGCATGCCATATGAGTTTGATTTTTGTGCTCTCTAGAGCATGGAAAAATCAAAGACAAAGGATTTTGATAAAAAATAAAAATAAAATAAAATAAAATAAACTTTGGATTTAGATTCAACTATTTCTGGCTTGTAAGAAAAGTTACAGAGAAAAGCCAACTGTCTGCTTGCAGGAAAGTAAACTGAATTATTAGATAAAAACTAGAAAATAAAAAATAAAATATTCAGTTGCTTTGGGAACTCTTCCTATTGAGTCAGGAATAAAGCTGTGTCTGTGGAAAAAGTAGTCAAATACCAGAACAGGCTCCTGAGAGAAGATGGGAATCTCATCTTCAGAATTATTGAAATATAGAAATACTGTTATAAGATTCAGTGACAGGTATGCTTGTAACAAGTTCACCTGCTTCCTTAAACTGAGAGAACCTCCGCTCAAATATTCCAATTACCGGATACAAAAGAAGTTACAAGGAGGATTGAAGTTCAGGAAGCTTTCATTTTCTAATTTATTTTTTCAATGTAAAAAACTTGAGAAGATTAAGGCGCTTTTCATATCCATGGCACAATGTTATCTTTTTTTCTGAAGGACGAGAAGCTGCTTTTAGTGCAAGTGTCTTATAGAAATGTACAAGATCTGTAAGTTAATTTGAATCTTTACACCTGATTTTTCCCTTAACATTTGTACTTCTGAAGACTGAAGAAAAAGTAAGTTTTGAGTCTCAGAAAACTAGCAAACTGTAAGTAATCATGGTTTCACTTGGTTTTAATAGTATTTCTGCTTTTTAGTCACCTTCATATTTTATCTGATTCAATTCTTTTTATTGAAGGATCAACTATTACAATTTATTTCTGGTGGAATGAATGTATCAGGAAGTAATGGTTCTGTTCTTCCTTCTACACCAGTCTACAAACAGGATCAGAACAGTGTGAAGGTAAAACTTATTTCTATATTTTTTTGTGATGTTCTGCAGACACGGGAAATTTAACTCAACGTGATATGTTACATTGTTTCCTTTTTGCAATTATTGTTATTAAAATATTGCTAGTTTGAAAATAATAAACAAGTGTTTTCAAACTGCATCTCATCAGTGTGTGTGTGTGTATGGGGTAAATACATGAATTTATACTCTGAAAGACAGTCCTCTTATGACAGGCACTTGATATGTAGATTTAATCTGCTTTTAAGTGCCTTTAAACATTGTTCTTCAAATATATTATAATTGAAACATAGTCTTATCAACTGAGGGTTAAATTATTTGCTTGATGTTGCCAAGTGAAGTGCTAAGTGGTGTAGACTTATTAGGTTTCATCACCTTGTTTTCATTAGTTCATATTTACTTCCTTGTGGAAGAAATCTGGATAGCAACTGTAGCGGTAGCTGTAGCAAAGCAAGCAAGTCTTGTTTATCCCAGTAGATGACTGGAGACTTTTTGGGAACACTTGATTCAACCCCCTCAAATAACAATCTGAGAATACTGTATTGCAGTACTTGAAATGCTAGAGTTTTTGCCATTCCCAGGCTTACTTTCCTCATCAGAAGTAGCAATTTCAATGCAGTGTGTAGATACAACTTAAAAAATAATTCTCAACATGTGAGCAAACATTGTCCCAGAAATATGATATCAGGCTGAAAAAATGCTTCAGTGAAATGCAGTTTGGTGCTTTTCTGTTTTTTCACTACAGTTCTTCCCTAGATAGCACTTCTACCACTAAGCTAATGGCATGCTTGACATTGGCATGTGTAGAAAAAAAGATTTCTTGCCTTTTTTTCTTTCTCTTGAATCTTTCCTCTTAAGCTGCTTAAGAGGATATAATAATAATATAATTTTTGAATTCCTATTGAATAAGAAAAAAATATGTAGCAAATAAAGCTTTTCTCATTAGCTTTCTTTTCATCAGTGGTCTTTTTTGGTCTTTTTTTTTTTCTTATGATAAAGGCAAATTTTTCAGTTCTGGAACTGTTGTTCTTACAGGATCCTGAATAGTGCTGCGATAGAAGTAATTACATTGACATAATTTGGTTATGTGGGTGGAGTTGGATATAAAATTTTAATTCTTCAATCAGTGAAACTTCTATGATTGATATCCCTGGGAGTCAAGGGGAAAATTAGTGAATCTGAGGTGGAGCTGGTAAAGTGATGAAAATTTTAGCCTACTTGAAATTAATGTAAATCCTTTATGTGGTTTCACGGTATTAGAATTTTACTTTGGGATATAAAAGGAATATCTGTTAGGAGATCTCTAAGCAGAAATAGATACCCAATTGTAATAGCTAGATGTCATAGAATCATAGAATGTCTTAATTTGGAAAGAACATTAGCGATCATCTAGTTCCAACCCCTTCCATGGGCAGGGCTACCACCCACCACATCAGACTGCCCAGGACCCCATCCAACCTGACCTTGAATGCCTTCAGTGATGGAGCATCCACAGCTTTTCTGGGCATCCTGTCTCAGTGTGATTATTCAAGTATAATACACATAATTTTAACGCATATTAATCATGCTTGCTTTTGTCAAAACTTCCAGAATTCTCATACATGAAGTAATAATTTGAAATTTTAAAAAAGTGTCTCACTTTGCAGAAGTCTTATTGCTAGCACACATGTAATTTAGCAACAGGGTGACCAATTAATGTTGATGCTTTCTTATGCAGGTGATGCTCTTTGCCAAGAAGTGTTTTTATTCATATTTAAGCCTGTTGGTGAATTCTAAGGATGATCTGGCATTGGCTCGTATTCTAAATGTTCCTGACAGAGGACTTGGTAGAGAAGCCTTCACTAAACTAAAACATGCTTCGCAGGAGAGAAAAATGTCAATTTTCCTGGTATGTGAATCCAATGAAACTTGCTGTAGATCAGAGATAATGAAATAGATTTATAAACATGAAATGTTGCTTTAGTCTCTAACTAAAGCATTAAAGACTAACATTTGCAAGCCAAGTCAAACACCATCATAAAGAGAGTTTCAAGGCTTCAAAACAAAGAAAACCAGCACAACAGATTTCATCTGATAAAATAGGTGATTGGTCATGAGATCTAAAGATACCCAAAAAAATGATTTCTGCCTGTGAACCTCTAGAATGCTAAAATATGATCTGGTAAAAACAGGAATCTCTTGACAAAACGAATCTATTAATAATATATTTAGAGTGTTGCAAGTACATACTTTGGTTAAATGGGAAAAACACATTTTTTCTGTGCATTTGTTAAACTGTAACCTAACATATCTTTTCACAAAATGCCTTTTGTAGAGCAATCTGAAGAAAAAAATCCAGTGCTTGATATGTAGATAAAAGACCAAAATCTGGAGGAATGGTATTGCTGTTTTTTCGGTTCTGACTCAGAATTTTTGGAATGTAATACTTGCCATTCATTTACAGCTTGATCAGTCTTGAAACATTCTTCAAGATGTGATTGATATGGGATATTCTTGATCATGTTATTCTCAAAGGCACAGAGCTGGAGAGAAAAAAAAAAACAACAAAGGATGGTGTCCTCTCTTATACAGGAACAAGAAAAAATTACAGTATCAGTATATAGTACTCAGAAAGGCTTGGAGCTAAAGAATCTAGTTTTGTATGTGAGGTGAATTTATATTTATAATTAGAGCAGTTATAGTCAGCACAGAGCCATCTCAAAAATAGATGAGTAAGATTTCTTTCTCCAGAGAATCACTGTGGTCCCTCATATTCAAAGAATCAAATTTTGCATTTGGGATCTGTGCAGTCAACAGTAGACCAAGAAAAAATAGTATGGGTATATAAAAGTCACTGAAGCAGCTACACTATTGCTTCAGATTTTATGGTTCAAAAATATGGAAAATTTGTGAAATCTCAGTTCCAGGATTAATTATTTGAGCTTCTAACGCTCTGTTAAAATTGTATATGAAAAAAAAAGTTGTGTTTGGACTGGTTTATTGCTTCTTCCTCCCAGCTGCCAGAGGGGAAACTTCTCTACTGTGTAAAGAAGTTGTCTTTTCTGGCATCTGTGTCTTGTAGAAGTCCTGCAAAGCCAGAATACTTTCCATTGGAAGGCAAGGTCCTATGAACCATATTTATCCAGAAGAAATCTTTAGTGCAAAAGCAGGAATACTGACAGGTTTATTCTCTTTGCTAGAGTAATTCCAGTTGTGTTCTTTACAGTCCCAAGAGCTTTATGATTTAAACTGTGTAGTATGAAATTAAATTGTATAGGTAGAATTAATATTACTGTATCTGTCAAGTGTTTTAGGTTCTTATCTTTAACTTTTATGGAGAAATTTATTTTATTTAACTATTGGCTTAAAATGTGAGGGGTTACACTCTGAAGTGTTGTGGTTTAACCTGGCAGACGGCTCAGCACCACACAGCTGTTTGCTCACTCTCTTTGCATTCCGGTAGGATGGAGGAGAGAATTAAAAAAAAAAAAAAAAATCTCATAGGTTGAGATTATAAATATTACTAAGATGGAAAAGGATGAGAGAAATAATAGTAATGATAGAAACATTTATGTATGCAAGTGATGCACAGTGGAATTGTTTACTACCCACTGACTAATGCTCAGCCAGACCCTGAGCAGCAGCAGCTCTCCCACCCCAGATTCCCCCAGTTTTATATTTGCATGATGTCACATGGTATGGAATATCCCTTTGGCCAGTTTAAGTCAGCTGTTGTGGTTCTGTCCCTTCCCAGCTTCTTGTGCACCCCCACCCTCTCACTGGCAGGACAGCATGAGAAACTGAAATGTCCTTGATGCTTTGCAGCACTGCTGAGCAGGAACTTAAACATCAATATGTTATCAATGTTGTTTTTCTGCTAAAGCTAAAACATAGAATCATAGCAGACAATATGAAGAAAATCTATTCTGTCTCAGTTGAAAATAGGTCAATATCCACTTCTTATTCTGTATTGTTTACATAATACTCAAGTCCCACACTTTCCAATACATCCCAATTAATTACCACCACCTTTTGTGCCTTCTGATATATACACGCAGATATTGTTTCCATAGTCTTTAGGCCATTTCTGTATATTTTCTGTGGAGTTCACATAATATGTGACTTTGGGCTCCATCTATTATAACAATCCTTCAGGACAAGAGGGTGGTTTGATGTTGCATGCATCTACTAGATGCTACAAAGAAAATCAGCTCCATCCCAACTGAAACCAGGACAACTGCTGATGGAACATCTCTTGTTTCAGTGTCTTTACTGTATATAAAATATAGGGAAACTTTCAGAATGGAGTATCTGTGATGCTAGAACCTTTAGCTATCATATATATATATATGATATATATATATATATATTTTTTTTTAGAAACTTTGAATATTCATAGTATTTATTTCTGCCCCTAAAAATAAATACAATTCTCAAGTCAATCTTCATGTGCTTGTATTAAATGTTCCTAGGTTATAAATAACCCTCTAAATGCAAGATTTGTTTTTGTTATGTAAGTACAAGCATTTAAAGAGCAGCAACAACAACAACAAAACTATGCAATTTTAATAAAGTAGAAGTTTTTTTCCGAGGTATCAATGTAAATATCAAATCAGTTGGGTCATTTTCATTTAATTTGTAAGTACTTTAAAACCCAACTTTAAGTATTGGGCTTGCAAATATATACAGAGAGATGTAAACAGCTTGCAATTAAAAGGTATTCTGTTGATTTCCATTAGATTTCTATTATTATCCAGCTGCTATGCGTTTTACATATCTGTACGAAGTCACTTCAAAATATGTTCATTTTCTAAATATTTCTCCTAATAGATGGCAACATCTTTTATCCGAACAGTAGAACATGGAGGAAAAGGCTGTGCAGCTTCATTATTTGATCCACTAAGAGTCCACGTAAAGGGGCTTTCTAACTTCATTAATTTTATTGACAAGCTGGGAGAAATTGTTGGTGAAATCCCAGATCCAAGGTAATAGAATTTCTATTCTATTTCTGTGTCTTTTGAGCAACTTTTTATTTTTCTTGTTTGTCTGGCTTCAGGAGGGGGGAACAAAAGAAGTTCTAATCACTTATTTCGTAGTAAATGTCTAAATCTTTAAGTTTTAGCTAGAAGAATACAAATGTTTGGAAAACAGCTTTTTGGTTTTGAGAGGCTAATATTTGTATTAAATTTTTACTAGATTTGTGCATGTATGTATATTTGGTTAGTTCCTTAATTGTAAATGGATTTCCAAATCACATGGGTCTGATGGAGACATAAAGATCTTTTACTTTTTCTTCCTCATTTATTACTCCTATTACGTTGTAGCACTTTATTTACTTTTCTATAAAGGACACCATTGTCACTCATTTCTTTCGTATTAAAAACTGATAAATAATGACAGGTTATTTAGCCTTTCTGCTCTCTTATTTTTAACAAGAGAAGCTAGTTGTATTAGTTATTTCTTGGGAATGCTCTTGTGAAGTTTTTGGGTTTGGATGTTTCTGAAGACTTGAAGTTAATTTTTGGGGAGAGTTATAAACGTAAGATGAATTACAGACAAGCATCAGTATAACGGTTATTCATATTAGTAGGTGCTAGTATTAGGACAAGTACTGGCATTAGGGTGGAGCATTCTTTTTAAATAATATAAGTTAGCAACATTTTTCATTTATAATCAGCAATTTTTTTCTACAGAATTTTAGCCAGTTGCCTATCATAGTTCTATGCTCTAAAATCTGTTTTAGTTTAAATAATCTAATTTATGTTGTTGTGAAAAGAAAATGTTATAGGACAACAATGAGCCTTATTTAAATTCCATTCATATTTCATTGAAGTTGGAAGTATTTCTGAAGGTTTTTTTTTTTTTACATGCGGTTTTTGTTTAATTTTTTAATGCTGCTTCTTGGTTCTTTCATTTGAACATTCTAGATACCAGAGACAATCTGTCTATATCTGTAATCGTTAAAGAAAACTTCTGACTCAACTTCTAACATATGCTTTTTTCCTTATTTAAGTTATGTCTGGCATTATACATTCGTAAAAATGAGGAAAGAAAAAAAACACTTGTGTACCAACATCTTTTAGGGTGGAAAGACTTCTTTCTGATTGTGTGATTCAGCAAATTGTAACATAAAATGCTGTGTCTTGTTAATTACCTTTCTGTTTAAAATGTGAGAAAAATCAGTAATTGCTTTGGAAATTGGAATTTCTAATTGGGAGAATTATCTTGAGCCTGGAAATCATTTTCAACATTCATCTGTTTATTTTACTGCTTTCTCTTTTTTCCTGTTGCTGTAGCTGTTGCCCTTTTCAGCATTCTACTTCCTATTATAATTCTGTATAGATGGTATGAGAATTTATACTATTTTAGGATATAAATCTCATTAATATCAGATTCTGGCATGTTGAGTAGATTACAAGTATGTATGTAGTTGTCATTGTTTGTATCACTTGTCAAGAACAAAATATATCTGTGCTGTATTTTTTTTTCCTGTTATCTCTTGCACTCTGAACGGGTTTTATAACTAGCAGTATTTTTTTTATATATCTTGCATTGTGTTTATGTTTCTATATCTAGTAGCTAAATATTTGTAGGACAACTTATACAATTATATACCAATTTGTTGACTGTCTTCAAAGGAGTGCTGAAGTTCTCAAACTTAAGGATTGCAAGATTTGTGAACAAAAAGAAAACTACTCCATTTTCCTTTTGCAAGTGTTTAGTAAGCCATGTGAGTGGGAACAGTCTGCATGTAAAATATGCGGACATGCAAAATGATTTTACATTTATTATGAATTCCAAAAGAAGCAGTTTAACAAAAGCAATTTCCCTAATTCTGTTACTACTGCAGAATGAAGAACAGGAAAAAAATAAACAAAATGAAGAACTGAGCAACAGTGCAGCAAAAGTTTTTAGTTGCTTACTCCTTAAGAACCTTCTCAGAAATCTGGGAGGATAATTAGCAATCTATCTGTGGCATTGCTCTTTCTCTGCTGTAAAGCTCTCAGTATTTTCTGTGCTACAAGGCGCACAAGATGTTTTTCTCATCCTCAAGCCTTTCTGTTAAGGAAGAAACTGAACAAGTAGATGAGATGAGTAGAACAGCAAAATCTTAATTGATCTATGATGGTTTGATTCAAGTGAGACACAAACTTTAAGGAGATTTGATAGCAGGAGATAGTAAAACAAACAAACAAACAAAACCCCAAAACAGTATTTTCAAGGAGAGTTCGCTGAGCAGAATAAACATTCTTACAAATCTCTGAAATTTTCTTCTCATTCTCTAGCTGTGCAACAGTAGAAGATATCGCTGAACTTTCAAGAATCAGTAGTAGCATGAACGTTCCTTAAAATTTGGGGATGCTGTAAAGCTTATAACCCTCAAACTATTTACGAATTCTGTACGTCTTGGACAGTGCTTATGAAGTAAATAGAGAACTTGCATTATCTACTTGTTTCTTGTCAAGTGACAGAAAAATGTTAGTGTTGCATTTGCGAGTGAAGTGGATGATTATTATAGACCTGGTGAACTGGAGGCTCTTTTATGATATAAATTAAAGCCTGCAGTACTCATCTATTATTTTTAAAATCCTCCTCATTTAGACCAAACTGTAAAATACTTCTTGCATCCAGATAGAACAGTTCTTCTATTTCTCAAATGACATTTTTCAACTTTATGAAAGCTTTGTATGACTCAAAATTGAGTGATGGAAAAGTATTTGTATTATTCATTGCTGCAATTTTTGCTTCGTGCATATGTATACGTATATATAAAATTTAAAGTCCCAACTGGTTTGATAAGGTAGCAAAGTTGGTAGATGGCAGATTTTTCTTCTTGAATTGGCCCTCACTTTGTTGTAACTACTGTCCACTAGGTGACACTATTGCACAGCTCACAGTTTAAACCGAATAGCTGTAGTAGGTGTTCTGTTCATCACCTTTGAGCCAGTGTGATGCTTTGGACTGGATCTTCATATCAAGTCCATGAGCAGTCTTCTACATTTGATTTACAATTTGACTTGATCACGCATGTGTATTAGTGTATTGAGCTTTCAGAGGGTAGGGAAAATACTGCTTCTCATGTTGCCATTGTAAAGCTGTGATTGCATCTTAAAATACAGTAGTATTTAGGATAGAATGCATATGAAGCTTTATTTGATCTTGTCCTGAATGTTTGGATAGCTTTCACACAGCTCTGGAGTTTTGTGTTCTAAACTTGTGGGAAAGTTGTGCAAGCATGTGCAAAGCACTGTCTTAGGAATTGTAGAATCATTATGGTTGGGAAAGACCTCTAAGATCATCTAGTCCAATGGTCAACCTGTCTCTACTAACCATGTCCTTCAGTGCCACATCCACACATTTCTTGAACACCTCTGGGGACAGTGATTCAAACATCATCTTGGGCAGCCTGTGCCAATGCAGTACCACTCTAAGAATTTTTTCCTAATGTCCAACCTGAACCTTCCCTGGTGCAGCTTAAGGACATTACTTCTTGTTCTCCCACTAGTTACCCGGGAGAAAAGGCTGACCCCTACCTTGCTGCAATCTCCTTTCAGATCACTTTAAAGAGTGATAAAGTCTTTCCTGGCCCTCCTCTTCTCCAGACTGAAGAATCAGTTCCCTCAGTCGCTTCTCATGAGTCTTGTTCTCCAGACCCTTTATCAGCTTTGTTGCTTGTTTTTGGGCACATTGAACTTAAGATCATGAAATAATTCTGTGAAAGTAGCTTCAGGAAGCATTTGATTTAACGTCCTACTCAAAGCAGGTCAATTATGAGGTCAGCCTAAGATAGTTAGGGCTTTGTCCAGTTAAGTTTTGAAAACCTTCAAGAATGGAGACTGCAGCATCTTTTTTGGCAATTTGTTCCACTGCTTGAGTCTCCTCATGACAATAAGCTTTTTTCTTATCCAGTTAGGACCTATCTTATTTCAGTTTATGCCTCTTGTCTCTCTTCTGTCCACTAAATGCCAACAGCCTGTCTTCCTCTTCTTGATCACTTCCTTGTGGGTATCAGAAGGCTGCTAGTGGATCCCCCAGAAGCCTTCTCTTCTCCAGTTTGAACAATCTGTTCCTTTAACTTCTCAGATGACGTGTCTCCCTGGTCATCTTGCCATTCCTTTACTAAACTTGCTTCAACTTATCAGTGTCCATTCTGGACTGGGGGGCCGAAAGCTGGATGCAGCATTCTAAGTTCAGTCCAACAAGTGCTGATTAGAGAAGGATAATCACATTCCTTAGACTACTGGCTACGCTACTGTAGATGCAGCCAAAGATACTGTTGACCTTCTTTGTTGCCAAGGCACACTCCTGGCTTGTTTAGCTTGCTGAACATGCACCAAGACTCCCAAGTTTTTTTTCCACAGAGTTTCTGCCCAGTCAGTAACATTGCAAGGGCATGTCTCTTTCCAAGAATTAGCATTTCCTGTTGAATTTTTTATGGTTCCTCTCAGCCCTTTTCTCCGGTCTGTCTAGGTACCATACTGCATGGCAGCACTTCCCTACAATGTATTGACTGTTCTACCCAGTTTTGTGTCATCTGCAAATGTGATAAGCATATATTTTGTCACTGCTTCTAGTTCACCAACAAAGGTATACATACATACACATAGAATCATAGAATGGCTTGGATTGGAAGGAACCTCAAGGATCATCAAGCTCCACCCCCTCTGCCACAGGCAGGGCCACCAACCTCCGCCTTGGATACTAGACGAGGCTTCCCAGGGCCCCATCCAACATGGCCTTGAACACCTCCAACGATGGGACATCCACAACCTCTCTGGACATCCTGTTCCAGCACTTCATCACTCCCTTGGTAAAGAACTTCCCCCTGATATCCTACCTAAATCTTCCCTCCTTTAACTTAAAACCATTTCCTCTTGTCCTGCTGTTATTTATCCTTGTAAAGAGTTGACTCCCCTCCTGTTTATAGGCTGTTTATAGGTACTGAAAGGCTGCAATGAGGTCACCTCTCAGCCTTCTCTTTTCC